GCAATATTGGGCAAAATCGCGGATTGAATTAGTGTTGCGGATGAGACTAGATCACGGGTTGCATTAGCTTTGTAAATTGTCAATATTAATCTTCCTAATTGCTTGGAGAATAGTGTTGCGAATGATGAGATCGTGTTTGCATTAAGATCATTTTTTTATTTTCAGGGTAGTGTTGCGAAAATGACCGAGCGTGATTGCTTCTACTTTTTATTTAAATTAAAGTTTTGTTGAATTGAACTCACAACATTGATTGTTTCAAATAGTCGTTTTCTTTTGTTGAATTAGTGTTGCGATATGGATTGATCAGGTTTGTTTTAGTGTTGCGATCGATGAAATGCCCAATGCTGGAACCACAGCAGAACCACAAGGCAGCTGAAATAGCTGCGAAGAGTGGTTCACGACAGCCCAGGTGGCTGCACTAACTGCATCAATCTAAAGTTAGTGTTGCGTATTGCAGATTTAAGGTGCACGGGAGTTTTCTTGATTTTTGGATTCAGTAAATTAGAGTGGCGAACAAAGAATACACCTACCGCGTTTTTTGAGAATTTGGATAATTATTGACAAATGTATTGCGATTGATAAGCGCCTATGTGGCTGCTCTCGGGATCTTTTTATATCATATTTAATACATTAGTGTTGCGTATGGTCCACTCACGGTTTTTTCTTTTAAGTAAATGAAATACAAAGAGTGGACAGGTTGAGCGCCCTACGAGGCTGCTATTGTTTCATTTGTTTTAGCGCACTATTGTGGCTGCTATTTTTTTACTTGTTTTAGCGCCCTATGGTGGCTGCTGTTTTTCTATGTTTTTATTATTGTATTGAATGATTATTATTGATTATTATGTACCAAGTGTTTACATTGGAAATACTGTTGATAAGTATATTTATATTACATGGGATCAAATTTTAAATTTATTGAATTGAAATGTCGATATAAACGTATTTTTATATTCTTCTATTTTCATTGTACGTTATATATGTTCTCTTAAATTTCTGTTTCAGGAATCGTCCTAAAATCGAATTAATGCTTGCTAAATTATTATTAAATTATTAACTGTCCACAGAAATGATACACGTAATCCATTGACTTCTTCCTTCAGGGATCATCCTGGAATCAAGCTACAAGTTCATTTGAATGTATTATTTACAATCTATAAAAACGTTTTGTTATAATCTCAGTTTCTACTTCAGAAATCATACGAAATTTCTATCATTATCCAACGATTATAATACAAAAAAAATAATTAATTGAAAAAGAAATTATTGAATTTTGGTTAATTGAAGAAAATTGTAAGGTCAATTTGTAAAAGGGGGATATTGAAAATTTCATAATTAAGCAACATGTCCTGTTTTAATTCTTCCAGTTTCTTTTTGAGAAGCATAGAATAAGAAAAAGGATCAATTATCGGGCTCCAATCACCTGCGCGCTTTTCTTATCGATCGTTCGTTCACTTGTTACGTTGGAACGATGGGCGTTCTTAGTGTTCAATTAACAGACTTCAATTATTGGGCTTGTACTGTAATTCACTAATTCATCGTTTTCATAATCTAGAGGGCAGTAAAAAATCTTTGGCTATTTGCACGATGTAGTATTACCTTTATATATACAAATGAAATAAACGTCGGCTAAATAAAAATTTAGGGACCGACCATAGAGTATGTCAGTATAAGAAAGCTCCGATCTCTGTCATAGTTTGATGACTTTAGGAGGCGAAGCTTGTATATTACATATGCACACGTATATGTGATGTATATCAATGTATATAAGAAAATAAATACTATATATACATATATATATATACCTATTTTGACTGCCGGTACATATGGACTAATCGCATAAAGTTTAATGTAATGGTTTTAGGTATTGAAAATTGATTACTGATTTCAAAATAGTAATTCAATCTAAAATGGTGTTCCATATTATGAAACAGGTAAAAAGTGTTTATCGGTAAGCGTAAGGTTATATTAACCTATTTTGTTATTGTTATTTATCAGAATGTAATATAATTGAATTGTGTACTTAGATTGCTGTATGCTGTCGTCGGCCACTAATAAATAAAACATTGAGGTTTTATGGCATATATGAACCTCCTTATTTATCGGTATATTCTTAATTATTCGAAATAATATTGTGGAATATATCTACTGTTTATATTATTATACTGAATTGTTTTGGACATTATAGAAACCACGTGAAGGTGCACCATTTTATCCAGTATTGAATATACAGATGAGAGGATATGTTTACCCTTTACTTGAAAACTACCAATCTTTCATTCATCGTATTGCAAAAACGTTGGACATTGATGTTGAAGACAGGTAATGTTATATCTATACTGTTTCTATATGTAACATTTCATATTTTAGTAATTGTATATTTTTATGCTCTCGTAGTTTTGCTTATCCTCATAAAGAATATAAGGTAGAAAGATATAAAAAGAACAGTGCAATAGTTGATTCTGAATATGCACTTAAACTTTATGAAAGGGATATACAGATATCGAATGTATCTACTACAACATGTCCTATTTTAATTAGAATATTAGAAGCAACTTTACCTGAAGGAGTTTCATTACATATAGATAAATACGATTCTGACCTAGGAAAAAAACGTTACATACCCGACAAAGATTTACTTGATATGAAATCTGAATTAACCGAAATGCGGAAACCCAGAACTTAATCATTATTAAGTGTCATCATTCTACACAATAGCATAACAATTTAGTAATACAACTTCAAAACATTTTTATTGTATAAAAATTATATACAAAATAGATGTATACATGTGCTTACAAACATAAAAAAAAGGTATGTAAATGCAGTTCTTTTTTTCCATTACAATTTGCACCCTTTCTCCATTCATAAGAGTCCAAAGTGTACAACTTTTATTTTAGAACCTTCTTCTGGTTTGGGAGGTTCTCTTACTTTGTTACTTATGTCATCTTCTATAAAGTATAATGTTTAATTACTGCATGTTTATAAATTATTGTACTTAAGACTGTTTGTTACTTACTTGATAATGGTTGAAAGTCCTTAAGATAATCTTCATTACCAAGGCACAATGGAAGGCTTTCTGCTAATTCGCGTTTTGGATCAGTCAGTGGCACTTGAGTAATTGTAGAACGTTTTTGTTTATGTAGTTGACCCTGTAACAAATACCAAACAAATAAAAGTAATATGAACTAACAAACATATTCTATTTATTCTATACTTACAGTGTCAGGTACAAATATGTGTGTTACTGTATCTGAAAACTTCACTTTTGGTTTTTCATTTGTTAATGCTGTGTCTGGGAATGCAGAGAATGGAGAACAGGATATAGAATTAGATGTAGAGCTAGATATAATTGGTAGAGGTGGTATGTTCGAAGATACCTTAGTTTCTTTGCTAACATTAACATTTGTACTATTTTGTGATACTAGTTTCGAATGTCTACTGTCGAATCTATTTTGAACACTATACGCGGGAGGAAACTGAGAGGTACCAAGTTTTACGTTATTAGTAGAGGAATGTATATTTATATTATCACAACTTCCATGGAATGAAATGTAATCAAGATCATAATTAAGTCTATATTTAGAAGGCTTAATGTTCCCATGTTTATGATGAGTTTGTAAAATGTTAGTTGTGGAACTTTGTTTCTGCAGTAAGTGCGCCGAGATATTTCTCGTTTTGATGGGCGAAAACGTTTGGATAGGTTCATCGATATCTGCCAAACCGGAGGTACTTCTAGATAAAGGAAGATTCTTTCTTGGAAGATTATGAAAGTAATTTGTAAATGAATTTGTTAAGGAGGGAGGTGGTGGTGGGATATTAATGTCTCCTAGCTTTTTTCCCGCGAAAGATGGTTGTAACTTGATGCCCTTGTGATTATCATCGTTACTTACGCTTTTTCCAATACTACTACGAGAATCTTGTACTTGATTGTCAAGAAAATTGAACGAAGTTGTCATAAGATTACTATGATTACCATGAAAACTAGAAGTTAATTTGTTTGTTGAAACAGAATCAGGAGTTGTTGTTTTAGGCGTGAAGTCATTCATTGCACCTGGTAACTTCATATTTTTCATAGAAGACGAAGATGTGGTTGAATTTGATTCACTAGTTACCAAATTACTAAAAGAATTGTCATACGGATTTGGAATATTTGTACCGAGTGTGCTAAAAGATGTTGACATAATGTTGCTATCCATGTTATCTAACGAAGACCTTAGTAAGTTAGACGAACTATCTAATGTAACTGTCTCATATGATGGACTGTTAAAAGGAGTTGATATGAAGCTATTCTCTTGCGTTAAAGTTGTCGTTATTGTGCTATCAGATGCACTATTAAGGGAAAACTGCATGTCATTGTGTATAGATTTGTTCTGTGTAGGATCTATTGAATTTTCATTAAGTCGATTAGATACTGCAGTTTTTCGTTCATTCGTAGACAAACTTCCAAATGAAGTTGTCATTAAGTCTTCAGAAATATTAGCAAAAGATTGTGGGCTAGGAGTAGTTGCTACAGATGTTTGTGGTGCATGCGTTCCATGTGTTTTATATAGAGGTTTGTTAAATGACGTTGATGCGAAAAACGTGTTTAAAAGTGAAAGATGGGATGAATGATTAAAGGGAGATGTTGTAAGAGTAGTATTGGGCATGTTGAAAGATGTTGATACTAAATTATAATCAGTGTTTTCACTAGATGGAACATCCACAAATGACGTAGGTAACAAGCTTTTGTTAAGATGATGTGGATCAAGAATTGGTAAAGGTGGAATGTGACTATTGGAATCTTTTTTATAACTGTAACTCTTAGAATGTTTTGCATCAGTCCGATTTTCCTTGGAGGAATTTTCACTCTCATCACTGTAAGATTCCTCTACTTTATCACTCGTTGAATCGGAACATAGCGAACATGATGCTCTGGAGCATGTGGAATCTAAAAATTTTGTATTATAGTATTTATCAAGGAATAAAATATTCTATAAAATTTTTCATTCATTCTTACGTGAACTATTGCAACTGTTGGATCTACTCAATATACGTTCAGCATTCTCTTTTGCTGCAGTAGCCATTGCCATGTCATTTACAATTAATGCATAAAAGTGTATATCCATAAAAAGATCATGATCATCTAGATCTATAGCAAGCCTAAAGGCTTTTTCGAACATTTGATACCTATGTCGTTTAGAATTAATATGTATAAAACAAATTCTTTTAAAAGCAAGAATATATAATACCTTAATAAGTGATAAAAGAATCTTCTTGTCAAATCTCTTATTTCATCTCCATATTCCTCCTCGATAGCATGACTAATTGGTTTAACAGGAATATGAAAACTCCCCAAAGCATTTTGTATGAGGTCTGAAATATTTATTTATTTGTATTATCTATGACGACTGTAAATTGAACTTCAAACTGAATCTTACTTTCACGTTCTGGTGTCAATGGAAGTTTAAATAAGTGATTCAAAATCTGGTTTAATGCATGCATACACGCACGAGGATAGATATCCCAATTCATAGACAACAATAAGGAAGTTGCTTGCTCGATTTGATACAGAGATAAGTATCTTTTAATTAATACATCTCCAGACAAAGAATCTCCTTCCAACATTTTTATCACACCTATAGGGCCTCTATTAATGTATTAGATTGATATTACTCATTTTTTAGTATACTGCTTGCTTAACAAAAAAATTTTTATAGTATACCGTTGAAAAATTAATAGTAGGAGTGAATGTCCATGAGTATGCCAATCAATATAACAATTTATATCATTTTTTTTATTCCATTCCATACGAAGCAATGCTGGTTGAGTTCTATGTTGTAAATAAATTTTATATTATGAAGGCATATCATTAAACTTATTGCTATTGCAAGCTTAATAAATAATTGAATTTAATATATAAATACCTAAAATATGAAGACAAATCTAAAATATTGGCTGGCGTTACATCCTCACTTAATGTTTGACTTTTAATACATGACAAAGAAATATCGAAGTGTTGGAATTGACCTTTATCATTTCCAATGATAAATATTATTCCGTTACTATGCCATGATGCTAACGTTGGTATCTTAAAAGGTTACACGATCCTTATATATTCATACATTTTCAAAAATTGCACATATGTATTAAGAGAGACATATACAATCAATCAACTTACAAAACTTGCTTTGACACTAGTAGTGGTGGCTCTATTTTGATCATAAATTATTACAGAACCATCTATGCAACCTAATAATAACAATTCCTGATTAGGTGAGAATTTTATACAGCTTGTATGTGTAGGCAAAGGCACAGAAGTTACTGCTATTCTTTGCAGTTTATCTTGCTGGGAAACTTCATATGTTCTCCATTCTATAGTCACTTCACCCTATGTCATACATATACTCATGATGTAAATAGTTCAGTTGCAAAATTAAAGCTAGACGAATAATTGTAATGTTAATTGATGCAAAATTATTACCTTTCTTGATACTTTTTGTTCTACTGAATGAATAATATTATCATGACATGCATCAAATATTATACACAAGGGATCAAACTCACTACGTATGTAACAAATTAATTCTAATTTTACTCTGAAAACAAATATATCCTATGCTTAAACACTTTTATTAGACAGACAATTATTAAATATTAAAAATTCAAATATGAAATTTCTTCTTCATACCCTATTAGACGATATAGATGTATATTTGCACGATCATGTTCTTTCACAGCTGGACTCCATGGATAAACTTCATTCATTGTGGATTTCCACCAAATTAATATCTATAATATTAAAAAAAAAACGATTTAATAAACTATAATACTTTCCAAATGGTCATATAGTTCTTAAAAAATTTTCATAAATATGAATATATTTACCAAGTCATTGCATTTGTTAGTCTGTACTTTTTTATCTAACCTACGTCCATTTGGACCAAACAGATCAATTGTAGATAATTTTGGTTCAAGTTTACTAATTTTATCAAAGACATGCTTTTTTGATCTTGTAAAATGTACAAGGCTTACTTGATTATCATTATAGGTACAAAGCACGTAGTTTTTAGTAATTATCACTGCAAATAGAAGTAATAAAATATTTACAAACTACTCAATATAAATACAAACCAGATAAATAAGTTGATAGTTACCATCTGATATGTACTCAGAAAGTTTCCCAACAAGGTATTTATCAAAAGTTATTTTGTATATATCACCAGTAGCAATATTAACTTGTATTTGTATTAATAAAGCATTATTTAACATCAACTGCAAGACACAATCATCGTACCACTGACAATATATAATTGAATTGTCTTTCAATTGATCCTAAAAAAACGAGTTCCAAATAGAATAGAAATATGTTATTAATTCATAATAGTGCCTTACTGAGATTTTAAATTATCAATACGCTTATCATGATACCTATAATAATAATAAAAAATTAAAAACAGTTCCCCTTTTTATATCCGTACATTGGGTAAATAGAGTAGTTGTGTTTTATTAAATTTGGTAAAATGTTTTGTAATATACAAATGATACGTTTATTCATTAGTATTATTTGTAATATGTGTAAATTAATTTGTCTCACCGGAATGCACCAAAATCTGTACTCTTTATGTTAATGTTGTCATCAAAGCTCCATAAGTTTACTTCACCCAATAATGTAAACATTATAAAAATATTGCTACCCTAACAGCATTGAACAGTGAATATCAAATTATACCTAAAGTCTCGTTACATTTAAAAAGGGTTACCATTTACTACATTAGAAAACACAATAATAGCAGGTAATTTAAATACAAACGACAAACACAAAAAAACACTACAGTGTTTAGATTTACAGTGGTCGAGACTCATTGTTCACCATTTTGTAACAGAGTTCTATATTATCGATATCATTTCGTTCGGTCTATTGTGATTTTCTATTGTGATACACACATACATGCATACTATACTTATGCATGATGTACATTTATAATTCCCGAATGCACCGTTCTCATAACGTAGAGGGCAGCAGAAAATCTCTGAGTTTTTGCACAATCGGTATTTCATAACAAGTTTCATAATGTACATTAAGATGTTAAACATAGGTCTATTCCATATGTCGTCTGTGATAATAGGTCAATTCTATGTCTAATCGGTGGTGCAGGCCATAGATGGAACAAGCCTGCGGCTCGACGTCGATGACGTTTATCTAGTGCAACAAGTTACATTACTTGGTTACCAGTTTGAGACATTTGCCGTGGATGGTGCCACCGTTCACTTTTCGTGCTATTCGCGACGCCTAATGATTCTTGCCATGATTCGTATAGACTGTTATGGAGGGAACAGTGTACACTATTAAAAATCCTGTTGATTACGTTTATATTATCACACGTAAAGTTTTTCCTTTCTCAAGGCTGTAGATTTGAAGCTTAAAGGACGTAGGTTAACCCTTGTGTAGGCAACCAGGTACCCATTTCAAAATTTCCTTTCACAATTTTTTATGTTCTTGTCTAAAACAGCACTTGGTATATTATAGGAAGGAGAAGCTAAGAATTTTGGAATAGTATGAAAGTAAAATTATCTATGTTTATGTAATCTGTCAGAATAGGAATATTCCGATTGCTTAATAACCGTGAATATTTTGGTTGCCCACACAAGGGTTAAGCTGTAGAAAGTAGCAGTTTAAACGAATTGTGCCAACATAATTAAAATTTTATTTAATACATTGGCTGGTACTCAATGACAATCGTTGTCAACAATGTGTTGCTTTTTATTGCTTCCTAACAAATAGAAGGGCTTAATCTACCTTCTCCAAGCTTCAAATCTAGTGCTTGGCAATGAATAATTTCTGTTCGTTCAACACTGTAAATTCGCACGGATCTAACAGCGAAAGTATTATTTAAACCTTAACATTCAGTTAACAGAACAATTCGACAACAATACCTTGTATCTTGTCTCAGAAGGAGAAAAATTTTCCATCACTGAGTAAAGAGGATCGTTCTGTTGATATCGACGCAAATAATTTTATGTACCTACGTACTAAAGCAGACTTCACGGAGAAACCGGCATCAACGATCTTAAACTTCGTATATGAAACCATACACAGCAGGTTCAAGTAGGATGCATCATAAACTGCGAGTAATTGGTATTCCCGGACTGCAACCGAGGCCTCTTACACTTTTGTTTTTCTTTTCTCTGTACGCGCTGAGGGAAACCGCATAGTTCTTGATTGCCGGCGTGCAAGGTGCAATTGCAAGTTTTAGTTTGCATGGTTCTTCACCCACGCGGATAAATTCTGTCGTACCGGGGATATTTTCAATTGTACATATTTGTTCGATGTGGTAAATAAGGACTACCGGTTGGAATTCTTTCGGAATTTTTGTGTTTCATTTACCAACAATTTCCACACGTGCAATACGTGAATTGCGTTCGCTAACAGGGTTCCACCTCAATTTGTCTCCCTTCGATTCTTACGTACTTACTTCAAAAAATAAAGAATCAAGACTGTGTATCAACAGACGTTAAAAAACTGACGTCTAACCGAGACCTCGCACAGTGCTGCGTATAACATTTTTCCTCTCAACTTCGGGACTCTATTGAAGTATTTTTTCTCGAAATGTAGAAAATCAGTTCTGCCAAATGGAGCTTTCGTTTACAGCGTTTTCTCGTCGTTACGGCGTCACCGTTATGGCCCCTGCGTTTGCTTCTTTATTACATCATAACCTCCCAGTACACAAATCGGGAAAACAGGATTTCCCTGCGGGTGGAACGGTTCAGACTATCGAAGAACAGTGATCAATACCGAGGAAAAAAACTTCCTGTAAATTTGTCATGCCTCTGCATTGATCGTCCGCCTCTTTCGAACACGTCGTAAGATTGACAATTTTTAGAATTTGAATTTCTACACTTCTATTCTTATATTTGAAATTCTTGAAATTTCGATAGAACGATGCCGTCCATTTTGCTCCAGACTGTGAACATTAAAGAAAACAACAGCAATCCAAAGAAGCGTATCCTCAATTAGCAAGAAAAAAAAGGGTGAACATCGGGGTAGGAAGGGTTGACAGGCTCAAAAGGTTGTTGTACTTTCCTGTCGGTTTGTTCGTCCCTTTTCGATTCAGTTGACCGCCAACGTGCTTGGTGCTCGGGCACATTCAACAGGTATCTATACAATCGATGTGTGTTCGCGCCACGGTATTCCCCCTCGGCGGGGCGTCTGTTGTGTTGGTATCAGTGATCTGCCCCCCCTCTCCACCCCCGCCACAAGAGAGACACGCTTGCGCCGGTAAGGCAGACCCTGTCGTTCCATGGCCACCAGTTTCGTTATTAGTACGCCGCTGGCCTTCGAAGCTGGACCACATTCTCGCCAAGGTCCACCGTCGGTGTTGATCCGCGATTACTTTTTGTTTGCGCGTGTCCTCACGTCGTCACTAAGACTATTTTGTTTTTTTTTTCATCAAAACTATACCGTCGCGATTCGACCTTTTTTTAACAGTGTGACAAACGAAAGTGATCTTAAAAGAGTAACTGTCCAATTAAGAATCACTCGAATTTTGTGTTCCGAAATTGTATCGTCAGTGAGAAAGTTCCTTTTCGTGGCTTTTGACACTTTGTGGGGATATAGTTGCGTGGAAACGGGAGAGATTCTGTTTCTTTTTGTTAATTCGATACAACGTTGTTGAATTTTATAGGATCCAAAGGGAAATATTGTTTAGCGGGAGTGTAATGAATATTTGAATATTCGGCGGGGAATGATCATCGATACTGGTAAGTTGCTTCTTCGGGAATGGTACTTATATAATTAACGTGTCTCGTCGAGAAATTCCGTTGAATCGAATTGCATTCCATCAGGCTGGTAACACGTTGCCTAATGTTTTACTGGTTATTTAATCGCCGTTTTAAGATTGTCCTCCGGTATTAGTGATTTTTATTGAAAATGGTACCCACGGAACGTATCCTGTCTCGCGAGAGAAGAAGCTCCGGTGAAATCTTATTACGTAAAGATATCTAGGTTCGTAGAAATAATAATGGTGTAGAAATGCCAGGTATTCGAGGTTTCATCCGCGAGAATCATTTGCAATTCTAGAGAATAATATATTATCAAAATAATCTTCTGTTACGGACGTGTAATCGTGTCAGCCTGGATTTCACCGTGTGCAACGGGCTATTAGAAATCGCGCTGAAAGAACGGAAATAGGTAATGGTTAAGAAGGGTATATAATATTTATACATTTCTAGAAATGGCATCCCAGGTATATCGCGTATAGCGTGGGAGAGAGAAATCGTGTCACGACGATCCGTACGCTATTTGTATACAAATTTAACGAAGCCCCGTAGAAGTTTGCCAAGCGATGTCTCGCAATTGTCGTCGACGACGACGCCGATACCACGTACCAGTCGTCTGTATCGGGGACGTTTCTTGAACGCAAATCCACCGTGTCAGCCGTGTTTTCCTCCTCTTCCTCTTTTCATCCGTTTTTTTTTTCCTTCAAACGTTCCCGCGCTCTTCACGTACAGCCACCACCCCCACCGTGGATCGCTTATTAACTCGTCTCTCGTTTTCCTTTATCGTTCATACAAGGACACCGAGTGTTCACGTGTGCGCGTAATACAAATAGTTCTGCAAAAAAAAAACGTTTCGTAAGAAATTCATCGAACTGTTTATTCGAAAATTACATACATAGATTGAGGAACAGAGGTATTTCGTTTACACTGATTAAATTCTGGACATCAGAGCCAGAGTGTTTTATCACAAGTGTATTTTTTTTAATGTAAAAGTTAAGTATTAATGCCAGCAACGTGTCATTTCACTTCGACTGAAAGAAAACCGAATAATATTCTTCTCTGTTCAACACGAGTCTGAATGGCTCTGGAGCTTAGAATTTGATTTCTGCCTAATTTGTGGTTACCACAGTACAAATAATTATGGAACATACTTACAATTGATATCGTAGATCATTGTTATCACGCAAGGAACCCTTTTATCCTGGATTGAACGCGAATACAAATTAAACACGAATGGGAGGTATGTACTACGTTTGGAGGAATTATTCATGTACCTTCGTACCATTTTTTCGAATGGAGATTAAAGCGTAGCCTGCGTATTCGAATTGAAATACACGTGAAACATGGACACGGGAGGAATTAATAAATGGATGTGTGTATAACTTCAATCTCCTTTGATTTTACGAGGCTAAAATAAACACGAAACGGAAAATATGTTGTCGTCGAGCGCCTTGTTAATGACTCATGTTCGTGTTATCTCAATAGCACTAAAAGTAACATTTATTTTCGTCTGGTGCAAAAGTCAATCTCTTAATGTCCCGGCGATATCGCGAGAGCTGTTACCGAGAAATAGAAAAAAAAAATCGCGAGCTTGGAGCGTCGCGAGATTAACTAGAGGAAATGATCTCTTATGCGTTTGATTACGCGGTCGGTTTAAATTTATCCGCAGGTCACGCGGTCGATTACCAGAGTTGGGCATAATTTTATTCGAATAATATATACTAAAAAGCTGCAGTATCTAGGGGCATCATTCTAAGAACTTTAACCCTAGAACGACACTCTTCCATTTTTTGGAATTTTCTAATGTTTAGTTTTAACGTCTGTAGATAAGATTGAAAGTTTGCGGGGTCGCCGGTAACTCCCAGGGTGGTGTTTCAGGGTTAAACAGTTAATTACATTAA